TTAGCCAAGACACAAGTAGCAGCTGGGTGCGCAGGCCTGCCTCATGTTCAGAGGGTGTCAGAGGTTGCTGAGACACAACCCCACAAACTCAGGCGCTTTCTGTTGGGCAGAAACAATGAAACTGACATGAAATCAGGGCATATAACAGGAGCTTCAGGGGGACGACTCTAAGCACTGTTTGGGGGGGTCTCAAGGTGGGGAGGCTCTGGAGGGCCAGAGTATTCAGGGAAGCCGTGTGTGGTTACCGCGAGCCGGGGCAGGGGAAAAGGACCAGAGATCAACTTAAACTCGGAGTAAACAAGCTGAGGGAAGCACAAAGTGAGAGAGGAGAAAAAAAAAAAAAAAAAAAAAAAATCCAAGGCAGATTTATGATGTCAGGCTCTGACTAAGGCGAGAGCGTCTCAGCTCACTCTCCGCCCACATTTCGGCTCTGCAGACCTGGTTAAAGCAGCTGTGTTCTCGTGCTGCCCCCTGCTGGCTTCTGAGGAGGATGGCAGCAGAAGCTGGAAAGGCTCAGCATTAGGGAAATGTCGCTAGTCTGTTCCACATAGGATTCTGTTAACCAGCAGAGCTCTACTGATGGAGAGAGCCAGTTCCACATGACTGAATGTGATTTTAGGAACAGTAACAAGGCATCCCAGAAAGAGCGTGGATTTCTGTCTGAAGACCTAGGATACTGAGACCAGATGAGCTGGGGTCCTCTAGCTCTACCTCTGTGATTCTAAGCGAAGACAAACATTAGAAGTATGGAAAGATGTGTTGGGCCAGGTGTGGTGATGCACGCCTTTAATCCCAGCACTTGGAAGGCAGAGACAGGCGGATCTCTGTGAGTTCGAAGCCAGCCTGGTCTACAGCCTGGTCTGTAGACCCTGTCTCAAAAAAAAAAAAAAAAAAAAAAAAAAAAAAGATGTCTGTGAATGTCAGATAAACTGGGTATAGGGAAAAGAGTGGTTTACATCCAACTAAAATAGGGCTTCCTGGCCCATAACATGAAATAGGCTGCATTCAATTGGACAAACTAATTCTGGACCTCTGCCTATGAATTTATTCAGGGTAGGCTGAAATAGGAATTTTGCTATCATGTGGGGGTGGGGTGGGGCTACATTCAGATTTTGCTTCTAAATGAGGGCCTTCTGCTTTGCCAGCACTGGGTCTTGTGAAATAAACATTTTGCAAAGCTTAGCTTAAGGTTATCCCTTAAGGTTTCTTATCCCATCTCTTACAGAATGCCTGAAGCTGCCTACCTAAGGATAATGCACTATCAACATTGCCTGTGTATACAATATAGAAAACTAAACATCTCCCCTTGACATCATAGGGGAGATTCTTTCCTGAGCATTCTTGCATTGAGTCAGACATCTAAGATGCAGGGTTTGGAATGTCTCAGTTAAGGTGACTTCTCTTGTCCTCCTGGGAGCTGTTCAGTAGCTTCTGACACCATGGTTGTTTCTGTGCACACTCCTGGGGAGTCTTCCAATTACACTCTCACCTTCCCAGGCCCCTGCAGGGAGCCCCAGAGACAGTGGAGCTTTTTCAGACCTGGGACCTCAGCTATCCGTAACAGGCTTGTCGTGCTGTGTGCCTAACCTTGATCTTCCTGCCCTTCCTTGCTCCTTTCCACACTGAATCCTCCTCGCTGTACTTTGTCTCCTCTGTATAGATTGTAATTGGACATTAAGTGGTTGAGGGAGATGTGAATGAGGGTGGTGTGAAGTCATGGGAGCCCCACCAGGTCCAAAACCCACTGGCATTTTCTGACGAGGAGGAGGAAGACCTGCTGGATTTCATGTACAAGTATAAGGCACCGAGAAGGACGGAATTGCCCCTGGAGGTACATGGTATCTGGGGCTGTGGGTTGGAGCATGAGTTTGCCAGAGGCTTTGCCCTAGAGATCTGCTGGTCCAGGGAATGGCATCTCTTGCAATGCCATTTCCTGAGTTCTCAGGTGAAAAGGGGATCTCACTCCACCAAACAGGCGAGACAGGTCACCAGGCAGCCTCCAGCTATCTGCCAAGGTGTGTGTGTGTGTGTGTGTGTGTGTGTGTGTGTGTGTGTGTGTGTGTGTGTGTAGAGAGAGAGAGAGAGACAGAGACAGAGAGACAGAGAGAGAGAGAGAGAGCCTATTAAGAAATATTTAGAAATAGGAGAGGTGGTAACGCAGCCAGGTTTTTTTATTTTTTCCAAATAACAACTACTAACCCAAAGTGATACACAGGTAAAGAATACAAATAAATGTTCTGAAGGACTCAAAACCCCTAATGTTATTTGACAAAATTTATAAATAAAGCTTATTCATTACTTTATCTGCTAGACATAGACTTGTACCTAGTATACAGCAGCTGTTCATAAGGTGTTATTAAAGGGAAACAGCTCTTACACTTTGTATTTATATATATATATATATACATTTATGTATATATTTATATATATTTAAATATATATATTTTACATATATATTTATATATTTGTGGAGATAGTTCTTTCCTTCCACCTTGTGGGTTCTGGGGATTGAACTAAGTTCATCATGCTTGGCAGTAAAACCCTTATCAGCAGAGCCATCTTGATGGCCCCACAGCTCTTTAAAGTCACCAAAAAACAACAACAACAAAACCCAAGATATTTGAAATTATAGCCAGTTGTAGGTCTAGACATTTTGGCAGCAGGAAGGCCATGCATAGAGCTCATGTGCTATGTTCTGTGACACAGGTGAAGAGTCACTAGTCAGAGGCCCAGGGCAAGACCAGCAAATTGGGGATCCCAGAGACTCCCCATGTTCCTCTCCTCTTCACTACCTGCTGGGCCCGCTGACCTGAGGGTTCATTTGGGGAAAGTTGGGAGTCCCCTGTCATACAGTTAAGAGGCCCCCATAAGGATCAATGAGATGCTCAGAAACATTCCCCCACATAAGCATGGCGGCCTAGCATTCTTGTTCACATCAAGAAAGAAGCTAAGACCACCTCAGCATGCAGGAGGGCTTCACATTTCTTTCTAAGGTGGATCGTTCCATATTCTCTCCACCCCCTTTCTCTCAGTGCTGGGTCAAACCCAGAGATTTATACATATGCTAGACAAATGTTCTACCACTGAGCTATAGCCCCAGCAGGCCATTGTGGATCAGTTCTGGTTTCTAGATGAGTCCTGTCTGGGCAGTAGGGCCTGGGAAACCTCATGATAGGCAGAGGAGTTAATCCTAAATATTCCAGGGTCCAAAATATTATACTCTTTCCACTTTTTGTTTTATTTTTGAGACAGGATCTCATTTTGTAGCCCAGGCTGGCCTCGAACTCCCTATGTAATGAAGGTTAGCTTTGAACTCCTGATCCTCTTACATTTACTTCCCAAGTTCTGGGACCACAGGAATACACCACCACACCTAGGTGTGGTTTTGTTTAAGCTGCACAAATTGCTTCACTGTTTACTGTAATGGTCAAAAGACAGTTGCCTAAAAAGGAAAGTTCTGCTGCTGCTCCAGTCTCCATCCAAAGGTGGATGGCAAACTTTTCTTATGAAGCCACACCCTGAGGAATCTGCCTATTCTCTGCTCTGTTCACTTCCCTTCTAGGTGGCTGCCTTCCACAAGCCCATTCAGTCACTAGATGGTGGTAAAAGGGCCATGGGCCTGCCCTCAGGAAGCTCAGAGTCTCATGGGCAGTGAAGGGAGATACCCACAACCAGGGCCAGGGTGCAAAGTCCTCTGCTATGGGGCATGTACAAAACTGTGAGGAAAAAGGGCTGGAGGTGTAGAATTCATGAGTAGAGTGCTTGCCTACCATGTGTAAGCTCTAGGTTCACTGGTCCAGTATGGGGGACAGGAATCATTCAGCCAGGCTTGGAACACATCTGTAATCTCGGCACTGCCCTCAGGAGGCTGAGGAAGGAGGATTACCACAAGTCTGAAACCAGACTGAGCTGGGGGAAAATGAACTGATCTTCCTAAAGGGAGGGACTCTAGACAGGCTGACTAGATCCCAGTGGATGAGCTTGCACTGAGGGACATCTGGGGACACTAACTTGACATAATAGGCCTTAACACAAATGACAGAATGTATGAACTCCAGTGGGGGGGGGGGCTATGGGAGGGTGCCAAAGGGGAAGAGAGTACAAAGATGATTTTCTGTATGAAATACACAAAAATTCGATTAAAAAAATGCAAAGATTATGCAAATAAATAAAACCTCCTCACAATCTCAAAAAAGAAAAGAAAAGACAGAGACCCTGTCTCAAATAAACAATACCCAAACTACTATAAGGTAATGAAGTCTGGCTGTGTGTGGCTGGACAGTGGTAAGCACGTCTCAGGAAATCCCAGGATTAACTGACTTTTTAGTTGGTGTTCAGGAGGATTAGAAATGTGCAGGTCAGAGGAGGGAGGAAAGGGCTTCCAGTCAGAAGGGACAGCAGTATAAAAGGACAGCATGGACAAAGTTCTCTCCCCACAGAGAAGCCTGGGGTCAGGGGCAAGGTGACGGTGGATTGAGAGCAGCAGTGTGAACTCCCTCCAGTGCTGTGCTAGACAGCCTTCTCTTTTCTTTCACTTCAATCATAACGCCTCCTCCTGTGGTTCGTGCCTCCCATGAGAGGAAGAGTCCCTTCAGTCATTTAAAGAGGCGCGCGGGGGGGGGGGCGCTTTGTAGAGTGGCTTACTGGGTAGTAAAACCTTTGACATCGTGAAAAGTTGAAGCACACACCAGGAAACTTGAGTCCAGTTCCCAGTGGAAATACAGAAACAAGCAAAGAGCTGGAGGTGTTTCCTTGGGACTCAGGAGATGCAAAACAGCCAAGAGAGGTGTGGGCTTTCTCAAGGGGCTCAGCCTCATGTGGTGCAAGGCTGTGACTCTAGTGTCTGATTCCTGCTGTGGGGACACAGATGGAGACCCCAGCTCTGTCCAGTGAGGGCAGCTGGCCAGGAGCTGATGTCTCAATAGCCTTTCCCAGGTGCTGTCCCCCAAGAGTCTACCCTCATGTGACATAGACAATGACTTTTCTGTCTTCTCTACCAGGCACCGCCTAGAATCCTTCGATCCCGCTTCAGGAAGAAAAGTACCTCATCCTCGGCCACTGAAACCACGTGAGATGAGCCAACAGCACCGGATCCACAGAATGTTTCTTCTCTGCCTTAAAGAGCTAGTCATTAATAACAGAAATCCGCAGGCTGGGTTTGCTTTGAGTGTGTAGCCTCACAGACAGCCTTTACTCGCTCCCCTCTTCCGTCTTATAATTTTTTTTTCTTTTCTTTTTAAAAAATTTTTTTGACCGGGGAGAGGCTAAAGGGAAAAGTTGGGAATGACAGGTGAACTTTAAGTTTTGGGGGGTTAGTAATTTTCCACAATGGGCTCGGCATTTTAAATGGTAGTGTTTTTAGAAATGTAAGCTCCCCAGTGCTGCTGAGATGTACATCTGTAATTTATCTGTTGCATAGTTTTTAGTCCTGTAAATGCAAACGAAGTGATTTTTTTAAAACCTTTTTTGTTGTTGTTTTTGGTACTAATACATTGGGACTATGATGTACATATTTATGGCTTTTGGCTTCATGTAATGAACTTGCAAGGGCGCCAGAGGCTCTAAGTGAGAGAACCGCAAAAACAGAAATGTAAACAGTATTTTGAGTCTAGGCAATGTCTCCGATATGCTTGTAAAGCTTCCAAATCCAGCACTATAAAGCATCCCTTTTCCTGCAGGAAGATGGTCCGTGTTCTTCAGATGTTTGTATAGTCTGCAGGGCAGCACTGAGTCAGGAGTGCACACGAGGTTCAACAACAGGGACAAGGGTTGGAGAGGTCAGAGAAACAGCCGAGGACACGGAAGGGTAGGGAAGCTCAGCTTCCCTTTCCTCCTTCAGAGCTCCCGGGCCCTTGCAGGGTGGCGTTAACACTGCCTCAGGCAGGTGGCTCACCCTTAGTAGAAGTGTTTGGGAGATGGAGACTCAGAGCCGTAGGAAGAATTTTGAGCGTCTCAGAAGTGCTGGGCAAATAAATATTTCTTCCTCACAGTGACCAGTGCTGTGCTTAATTTCCCCAAGAGGAGCCTACAATTTGAGTACCTTATTTGAGAGAATATTAAGCAAAAAAAAAAAAAAAAAAAAAAAAAAAAAAAAAAA